GCCTGTTGATCGCCGCGCTCGCCCGGCCACGGTGCCGCCCCTGTTCCTGGCCCCGCTACCTCGGGGCTGACGCACTGACTGCCCGCACCGCCGGCTCCAGGATGGGCGCACTGAAGGGTGAGCGCTCGGGAGGTGGGTGGCGGCCCGCCGGGGCCAGGCGCTGTCTGCAGCTGCAGCCCCAGCCCGCAGTGCGGGGGCGGCCGCGCCCTCTCTGCAGCTGGAGGATGCTCCGCAGCGTCGGCATTCAGCCGGCCGGGTGCGGAGAGCGGGGCTGCCTCTTGCGTCCGCGGCCCGGCTGGCTTCGCGGAGCTGAGCGCTGCAGAGAGCGACGCGGCGGGAGGCGCCCGCAGGGTGTGGGTCCCACGCCCCGCAGTGCGGCTCCGCAGCCTCTGCAGCCCGCCGGGCCCCTGCAGGGAGGGCGCGGTCTCCTGTCCTCCAGTGCTGCGGGGCTGGGTTTTTCCACGCCGGGCTTTGTTCCCCACTTTCTCTTCTGTGAGCGTTTGACAAGCTCCTAGAATCTAATGCCTCTCATTGCATCGTTAAAGCGGGCGATGGGGAAGGGTGGGGTTGGGTGGACTCCTACTGGCATTTTTTTTCTAAGATCCGTGGAGCTGTCACCCGCAAGGTATTTCAGCCTCCGAGAAAGCAACATTCAGAGAGCGGCCTGATACAGGTCCTCGAGACCTTATAGATTTTTCCTGATTAAGGTAGTGGTTAGCAGATGCTCCTTTGAATCTTCCTAAATTTTCCCTGTTGACCTGATAGAAATGAAGATTGATTTTAGAATGTCGTAATAATAATATTAATAAAAGGCTCCTAATGGGAATTTTTACTTAAAGTGTTCAAAAACGATGCAGACAAAATGCAAATTAGCTCTGAATGCTCCGGTTTCATCTTTCCCATTAAACATCTGAATCACGTGGCGGGGCGCTTGGGAAGGGACTGAATATCAGAGGAGGTGTTTTTAAAACCAGGTTCTTGTCCTAGCTCTACCGTTAAGGAGCTGAGGGGACTCTAGGCACCTCTCTTAGTTTCTTTCTCCATGTAAAATGGGGCGTTGGGGTAAATGATTTCTAACCCTCTCTTCTTCCAAGATTCTCATATCGGGGAACTAAGGAGATGAGAGGGTGCTTCTATTCAACACCATTATGAAAAAGCCTGATTGTGACAGATAAGTGGCTTTTCCATAGTGAGGAGGAAAGGTTTTTCAGGGCTTAGGCAATGTAATTTTTAAAAAAATAAAACTGATTTTTTCTACTCCCTTACATCAAACCCAATAAATATGCATTATGACCATTTTAACTTTTGTTAGATTACTGTAAATTTGTCGGCAACGTGTTTTTTGTTTGTTTTTGTTTTTAATTTGCCGAAGGTAAAGTGATGAGATCAGCTGGTAAAGGGGAAAGCAATGGCTCCCCACGGCTAGGCAGGAATGGTCAGATGTGGTCAACCAGGAGGTGGAGAGGAAGCACCAGCAAGAAGTAACCAGAGAGTGTGTACACTGAGGAAAGAGAGGAGGGGTAATGATTGTTTGAATAATAAATGGTACACAATAGAAGGAACGAGAAAACCAGAAAACCAGTGCAGTGCAAACCGTAGTATAACTGATACAGGAAAGGACTCATCCACGGATACAAAACCTTTGCATGAAAAGTTGTCAGAGAACAGGATTTTAACATCATTTCAAAGTATCTCTCCACAGATTACTTAGGGAATATGTGTCCTTACAATGGAGAGGTTAAGCATCACTTTAACTTAGTGATAAAGTTTAACAGCACCTAGAACGAGTCTCCTGTTGGGATGCAGTAAGAATGTCATAACTTCACCTATGTAGTGTTCCTGCCAAAAAGACTGGGGCAAGGGGTTGGGGGAGTGTTGTAGATTAAAATACTCAAGTGATGTAACAATCAATTGGGATGTGTGAACTTTGTATCCTAGATCAGCAAAAAATAAAAATAAAATTAAAAAAAGCTATAAAAGATGATTTGGAGACAATTAGAGAAACTGGGATATGGATTCTATGTTATATAATACTATGGAATTACTTAATTTTCTTAGGTGCATTAGTGATGCTGTGGTTATGTATGACACTGTCGTTATTCTTTTGAGATGTGGGTATTGGTGGCAGTGTCATGATATCTGCAACTTTCAGCTGGTTCAGGAAAAAAGTATAAAGTCAGGGAAGCAAGTTTAGAAATACAGCGAAATGATGACAGTTGGCGAATCAAAGAGAGTGGTATACAAGTGCTTATTGTACTGTTTTACCTTTTTTGTAAATTTGAACTTTTTAACCCATTTCTCGTTTAGAAAAAAAAAAGTGCAGCTCACTGCCAGCATTAATTTAATTTTACATAAACATGCTCTTTGAGGCTGAAGCAAATCTGACTGGTTTTCAATGTGAAAATAAAATATAAAAACAGTTTATTTCTAAACAGAACTTGTCCCTAATCCTAATTTAACAGATATGCATATGATGATCAGTAATTCATAATTTTTTTTCGAGTGGTAAATTTCAAAGCACGGAACAACACAAAGTGGAACATCCAGGATTTGACATCTTCGGTGATGGAGAATTACTGTATTTTGTAAATGGAAATACCACTACTAAAAACAGAATGCTATAAATAGAATGATGTCATTTGTTGCCAAAGACTATCGATACACTAGAGCGATGCGAAAATAAAATCGAGAAATTTTGTGGCAAACTTAGGGAGTAGGTTAGCATTGTAATCTGCGAGTTATCTCAGGATAAATGCTGTAGTCGCAAGCGCTGCCAGTGAGTATTCTTGGGGCAAACTGGAAATGAGTTAAATTAAAAAGTTGGAGGAGATCAATAAAATAAATAAGTAAATAAAGAAAAAGCATTCTAGAGGACGGTGTAGTTAGTGATAGACAGCTGCAGTGAATCTGGGGAACTGAAAAGTGAACCTGTGGCTTCAAGTTCCCAGCATTTAAATCCCATTGGTGGTGTGAGTGGGGTCAGAGAAAGTTCCCTTTTTTGGTTCATCTTGGCTACTATCAGTTATTTTCTTAAGACATCCCATTCCCTAACTCCAACCTCAAAATATTAATAATTTCCAAACCTTAGAAATTCTAGCCCTACCCAAGAACTATCTTGAAAGCACTGTCCCTTTCCTCTCTACATTTGAGATCTGTGTCAGTGTATTAGGAAGTTCCACGTGGTGCTTCTTTTTATTTTGAGTTAGGAATGCGTTGGGGAAAGAACAGATCCAGCTTTTTGACAGAAGAGAAGTTGTAGGGTTTCCTCTCATTCCTTTTATTTGTAAATCACATGCAACCAAATGTTTCCCTTATAGATTATAAGTGGTTCAAAAAGGTGTGCAGGAGAGACTTCCTGTTTCTAGACCAAGAAAACAGAAGTAACTTTTAAGATACAACACTTAATTTTACACAAAACCTTTTGCTGAAAGGATATTTTTGCTACTCCTGGGAGATAGATAGATAGATAGATAGATAGATAGATAGATATTTTCTTTCTGTTTTTATATTTTACCTTCTTGTTTTGACATCAAGGCTACCCCATCTCTTTCATGTGTGTCTCCAGTATTCCTGGATTCCCATAGTGACAGCTGGGTAGAGTGGGAATGAGAAAGTCAGTTCTAGGACTGTGGATAACAGGAGCTCATGAAACAGGGTACAAGGCCTTGACATGATGAATAAGAAGCAAATCTGAGGCCTCTCATCAGAGTGATTGGAGGGGTCTAGAGTCTAGTGAGCTGGGTTACTGTTCAGCCAGTATGTGCAGGGAAAGCCATCCCTGTTGTGTATAGCTGACCGCCATTCTAATTGGCCAATGCCCATTCCATACCAGTTGCTTAATATCTTACTTATCATCTTGATAAGCAGTCGTGAGTCAAGGTATATATAGTACCCATAAGTTATAACAAAGCTTTGGTCAAAACCCAGCTGGGATACAGGTGACAGAAAAAGAGACAAGATAGATTGGTCAAAGACTACATAATTGGCAGAAGCCAGGAGGATATGTGAATCAAAAGACAGAAAGTAGGGAACTCATGGTACCAGTCAGGAACTGAAAAGCCAATAACTTCCCAAAGGCAAGATGAGGGTCTAGCATCAATAGGCAGTTAAAAACTAACAAGACAGATACACAAGTGGAAAGCAAGAAGTCAAGAAATAGGAATAGGGTCTTCTTAGAAAACAGAGAATAGGTCCAGATAAAGGGATAAGGCAGCAGCAGGAAGTAGAACCTGCCAAGAAAATTAGAAACCAGGTGGCAGTCTGGGCAGACGGTAAGACTTCCATGCTAAAGAGCTTTTTCCCCAGCCAAGAAGCTTCCCAGCTACTTCCTGTACATGCAAAACCTATCCCGTACTTTGGCCAGCCTACATAATGGTGGCTTGCTATACTTGGTAATACTGACCCACAGCTCTAAGAGGATGCTGCCTCTCCATATTCAATAGATCTTGAGAAGGATAACAGAGGGAACAAATACCCCAAGTAGAAGATTATCCCCAGACCAAGGACAAATGAGAAATAGCTTTGATTAAAGGTTTGCATGTGCTAGGCACTGCACCTAATATGCACACTATGATGTTAAGCATCACCTCTACCTACTGAGATAAGTACTGTTCTTAGCCTGTTTTACAGAAGAAGGAACAGAGGCTTTGAGAGGTTGTCACTTGCACACAGATCTGTAACCATCAAACCCAGGGCTAGTTGACTTCAGGGCTCATGCTTTTAGTATTCTGTGCTCTTCTGAACCTGGAGGCAGGTAATCACTAGTGGGCATATTGTTTTAAAAGGAGACTCTTTTCACGTACAATTTGAGGTTTAGCAATTTTTGTGTTATAATGTTGGCAAGTTAGGAAAAAATAATCTTAGATAAAACTCTTCATTCTGGTAAGATCTGTTCCTCATTCCACTTTCAACTTTCCTCATTCCAATTATCTTGTCACTTTTTTTTTTTTTTTTTGCCTACCCCATTCTCTGTTCTTGATCTTCTGCAAGAATTGTCCAGAATATGGCAGGTGCCATTTGGCTGTTTAAAAAAGAAACAGACTTGACTGTGCTATCTTCAGATAGCTAAATTCCAAAACACAGGCTATGTGTTTTGTGCATATCTTTGTATTTACCCA